AAGCTCCTCAGCCCCGTCGCGAACAACGCAAGCTACCCGAGCCACTCCCAAACCCCGAGGGCACCCCACGCCAAGCACCACCGCTGCACCAGGGAGGCGATTGTCTATAAGCTCCGAACCGGCACCAGAAGCGGAGAAGACCGACCGAAGATGTCCGCCCGCGACCACCGGCACAAGGCAGATTCAGAGGGATCGCATCGAGACCAAGTTGTGCGGCAGAGAGCCGACCTCTGGCAAAGGCGCTGACTTCCACTCAGGAGGGCAGCCGGAAAAGGTGTTGATGGCGCGGCGGCGGCAGATTTGAGAAAGGTGGAGATGGCTGAATTTAGGGTTTTTTTTAATAATTAATAGTTGCTTTGGGAAAGGTGAATTATTTGAGAAAAGTAAGGGGGCGCTTGTTTATGGATTTTTTCAACCAAAATATTTCATTTTGTTAACTATAGTTAAAGTTGAAAAAGTTATGTGGTTAATTGTTAGTGGAATTTAAAAAATATATTAAAATAATATTTAAAATAAAAATGATTAAAGTTGATTTGATATAAAGTATGAGATAAATGATTGGAAATGATTGGTAGTTAAAATTATGTGAGTGGAGGAATAGTGAATTAAAGTTGATGTGATGTGTAAGAATGATTGGTTTTTATTATTTAATTGTATGAATAATATTAAAGATAGTGGGGTTGAGTTAAATATTTGAGTTGAAAAAATTGGATTGAAAAAATCCATAAACAAGCATGCCCTAAGTTTTTGAGTTATATTTTTTTTCAACGACCAGAGGAAAAGAAAAATGAAAAAAATAAAAAAATAAAAAGGGAAAGGTATGAGCTTTAATAGAGTGGGCTTATTATACATTTTAGAGATCGGGCCATTTGAGTTTGGGCTAAGACGCAATCTTTTGGAAAGTACTTCTTTGGGACAACAGGAATGAGAAAAAATGACGACTCATGCCAGTTAAGAAATTGATTTGGGCCGAGGCTTTAACCAAAGTCTGAATCGTGCCTACTTGCTTGTATATTCCCAAAGCGCGTTAATTATTCTAAGCCGATGTTAAAATTCTTTTAAGAATTTTGCTTACTTTAATCATTATATATTTTGTAGTATTTTTGTGAATAATTGTGGAATTGTGGAACTCTCATTTGATGTAGTATCAAGTCTTTTATGTTTTGGGAAACATTCATAACTTAACCTTTTGTTATTTGTCGCCTTGGGATTTATGTGAAAAACCTTTGATTGGTTGAAATCCTGAACCGAGAGTTCCAAGTTCCACTAAAAGTTCCATAAACTCCTTAATCACTAATTTGTGACTAAGTGAGAGTTTTCGATAATTTTCTGAGTTATCAAGATGATATTTTTATAGATATTATATTGATTAAATGTAGGTTCCTGAGGAATCGAGCCTCACCGACCTACTGAGTTATTGTGTGATATCTTCTTGTCATTCAGAACAACTGGGTTTTGATAAACCTTACCATGTATGTTATTCTTTATAATTGCTTGGCTTTATAATTAATGTATATATGTGAACCATTGGCCTAACGATAGGCAATGCCTGATGAAAAGCGATCTCCATCTGCCTAATGAAAGGAGTTTGGCTCATGTCTATGAGCGCCTAATGAATGGCAAATCCGACAGTAATTGGCTCCCGTGATGAGCGCCTAGTGAATGGTGAATCCGACGGTATAAGATGTGCACATGAGACATGAGACTATAGAATGATTGGAGATAATTGAGTGAAAATGATTTGTTTTCGTGCTGCGATTATGATTTTAAGTCATTATAGTGAATAGACAGCATGGTATTCCCACGGTGAGTTTGTTGTTTGCTCATCGCCATTATTCCCTTCCCCCTCTGTTTCAGGTTGAACTGGTGACCATGGCAATGGACGGGCGAGTGAGCTCATTGTGTCTGATATTATGAACTGTTTATCTACTTTCGCTATTGTTATTATGTTTTGTCATGTCGAACTCATTATGAACTTGAATTGTATTGTATGACTTGAGATTGGATATTGTTATGAGTAATATAATATTATATTGAGGTTTGTTGATAAGCATGTGATATTGTGTCCTTTGGATTATATGTCTATGTGATTTTTCTGGGGATGGTTTATTCCCAAGGGCTAAAGTCAATACTTAAACATATGGATTGAGCTTCGGTTGAGTAATGCCCGTTAATCGATTTCAAATTTGAAAATGTTTTGCAAAAAATTAACTCTGATTTTTGGAGAGTTCGGTAATTTTTTTTTTTAAAACAACGGGGCGTTACAACTCTAGTTATGACCTAGTGTTTGATCGCTCGGTTAAATTTTTCATAATCCTATGTTACACTTATCTATCTTTTTGAGACTTGGAGTGCTTAGTATTGTGTTTTCTTGTATTGCTACTAGTGTCGTACCCGTGCGATGCAGGGTTAGTTTTATTAAAGTAAACATTTAGAATTGGATGATTGGAAGAACGTAAAACGCAAGTATTATAATAAAACGAAATGTAACTTATATATTATTAAACACATCATTGTACACAATATTATTTTTTTGGTATTTTGATACATTGTCCATTGCACAAATTATATTAGGATTCTAGATAGGCGTAAATAAATCAGTTAAATTATTTCGTAAGATATATATGATATGATTTATACTGGTTTTATGAAGATTGTATAGCCAAATGTAATCTATAGCCTTATTATTTTGAAATTGTAAATTATTTAATTTAAAGAAGGATAAACTTGTGTACGTGTATGCAATCAATTTCAAATTTGGATTCTAGATGATTAAACAAACCCAAATTTTTGGGATGTTACAATTCAATTTCATTTTGAATTTCAAATTAATATTATATGGCTCTGTTTTATGTTTTAAAAAAATCTG